AACAACCCAACCGGGACCGTTTCGTATGTTCTAGCTTTTACTTGCTGGCATGTCAGGCATTTAGACACAAATAGTGCTACCTCTTTTTTCATATTATTCCACCAAAAGGTTTTCTTCAGGTCCTGATACATTTTAATACTTCTGGGATGTATCGTATAACGAGAATGATGTGCTTCTTCCAAGATAGCTTTCTTTACACTCTCATCATTCGGAACACAAACCCGACCTTTGAATCTTAGCAAATCCTCACTACATATAGAGAATTCATCTCTCTTTCCTTGCTTCACCTCTTCTATAATTGTTATAAGCTGAGGGTCTTTCTTTTGTACCAATCGAATCTGTTAGATTAATTGGGGTTCTGCCTTAATGTTGGCAATCATACTTACCACACCATTAATGGACGGAGTTGGATGTCAATCCACTATTTCCTCTAACAATCTCATTTCTTGGATCATTAGATGAGCTAAGACTCTTGTAGATTTTCTACTTAGAGCGTCGGCCACAACGTTAGCTTTTCCTGAATGATAATGGATTGTACAATCATAATCTTTTAAGAAATCCATCCATCTTTTCTGTCGCATATTTAAATCCTTCTGAGAGAAGAGGTATTTCAAACTCTTATGATTCGTGTATATTTCGAATTGCTCACCATATAGATAATGCCTCCATATTTTCAAAGCGAATACTATTGCCACTAGCTCCAAGTCATGAATTGGATATTTTTTCTCATATTCTTTCAACTGTCTGGATGCATATGCCACTACTTTTCCATATTGCATTAATACACAGCCCAAGCCTTTATGTGAAGCATCACTATAAATCACAAATCCCCCACTTCCCTCAGGAATAGTTAAAATAGGTGCTGAAGTTAATCGAACTTTTAGTTCTTGTAAACTCTCTTCACATTCACTTGTCCACTCAAATTTGACATTTTTCTGTATCAATCGAGTCAATGGGGTTGCGATTCGAGAAAATCCTTTTACAAATTTTCTGTAATATCCTGCCAATCCCAAAAAGCTTCGAACTTCAGTCACATTACTTGGTTGTTTCCAATTAACAACAGCTTCAACCTTTGAAGGATCAACTGATAGACCTTCCTTTGATATAACATGTCCTAAAAATGTCACTTGTTCAAGCCAAAATTCACATTTACTAAGTTTGGCATACAATTTCTTTTCTCTTAATATTTGCAATATCATTCTTACATGCTGCTCATGTTCCTTCTGATTCTTGGAATAAATTAAAATATCATCGATGAATACTACAATAAATTTATCCAAAAAGGGCCTAAAGATCCGATTCATCAAATCCATAAATGCAGCCGGTGCATTGGTTAATCCAAAAGGCATGACTAAAAATTCATAATGGCCATACCTTGTTCTGAAAGCTGTCTTGGGTACATCTTCACTTTTAATCTTAAGCTGATGGTATCCAGATCTAAGATCAATTTTTGAAAACACTTGTGATCCTTGTAATTGATCAAATAAATCGTCAATTCTAGGTAATGGATACTTATTTTTCACTGTCACTTGGTTCAACTGTCTATAATCAATACACAATCTCATAGTCCCATCTTTCTTTTTGACAAACAGTAGTGGAGCACCCCAAGGTGACACACTGGGCCTGATAAAACCTTTATCTAATAATTCTTCCAATTGTTGTTTCAATTCCTTAAGTTCTGCAGGTGCCATTCTGTAAGGTGCCTTAGAAATTGGTGCTACCCCTGGCAATAATTCAATGGAGAATTCAATTTCCCTGTCAGGCGGTAATTCTGGCAATTCTTTTGGAAAAACGTCGGGAGATTCTTGGATAACCGGAGTGGTATCCAAATTTGTTTTTTCCTTCCTATCTTCTTTGATATAGGCAAGAAAGCCTTGACACCTTTTTCGAAGGAGGCGATTAGCTCGAATACAAGAGATTAAATATGATGGGGAGTCTTCTTTGACACCATTGAAGTAAAATACTGGTTGATTCGGAATGTTAAAGGTAACCATTTTCTTATAACAATCAATACTTGCATGGTATGCAGAAAGCCAATCCATGCCTAAGATTACATCAAAATCTTGAATTTTCAGGAGTATTAAATCAACCAACAGTTCCTTTTTTTCTATTTTTATTACACATGATTTGTACACTATATTGGTGTTAATTGAATTTCCCATCGGTGTGGTTACCTCTAGAATATATTCTAATTGTTCTGGTTCTACCTTTAAGTGGCATGCAAAGTGTTGTGATACAAATGAATGAGTAGATCCAGGATCAATCAAAACATGAGCTATTTTTTGGAAGATAGTAAGAGTACCTTGCATCACTGATTTTGAGGCCTGAGCGTCT